GCGATGAATCGACAGATATAAGTGATACGGCACAATTACTTGTTTTCGTTTGTATGGTTTTAAAACATTTTACATCTAAAGAAGAATTGTTGGATATGATTTCTTTGAAGGAAATTACTAGAGGTGTAGACATATTCAAAGCCTTTAAAAGCTTGCTCAATGATTTGAAAGTACCAATTTTTAGATTAGTTTCAATAACAACGGATGGCGCAGGTGCAATAATAGGTACCATAAATGGATTTATAGCCCTGTATCAAAAGGAAGATGAACTCCCTGCCTTTTTTAAACTATCATCGCATAATTCACCAGCAAATGTTAACTAGCAAGAGACTAAACACAAAAGAGATAATGGACATAGGATTTAAAATTGTTAATTCAATTCGAGGAAGTTTCCTCAAACAGCGCCTCTTCGAACTGCAGCTCGATGAAGGCCAATCTGAATTATTACTACATACTGATGTCAGATGATGACAAAGCACATATGCATTTTTGCAGAGATTTCGTGATTTATTGCCTGAAATTATAGATTTTCTTAACGAACAAGATGGAAACTATGAAAATTTAATTATGAAACTTGGCTTAGTGACTTGCCATTTCTTATTGATTTTACTTCAATATTAAACCATTTAAATTTAGAATTACAAGGTAAAAATGAAACAGTATGATATGATCAGCTGCATAGGCGCATATAAAACAAAATTTATTTTGCTAATAGAGGATCGGCAACAAAATAACTTGAATCATTTTCGAAATATGGCGGATAACCTACAAAAACATAAAAATATAAATTATCAGATCGACAAATATGTCGCGGAATTCCAAAAAGTAATTGAAGATTTTGAGATAAGATTCCAGGATTTTGAAAAATTAAAGAAATTGTGGAACTCGTATTTTTTTTCCTTTTAAAAAAGATTAAAGTGTGAAACGCATTAGCCAAAAACTTTCAGACATGTATTTCATATGAATCAAAAGGCATTAGAAAATGAAATTATAATTTTACAAACTTAATCTTACAAGCCCGAAAATTTGAAGATGATTTTTGGAAATATGTCAACACAAAAAAGTATCCCAGTATCACCAAATGCAGCGAATGTATTCTTATTTCGAATCTACATACCAAAGCGAATCGGCATTTTCATACTTGTAACTAACGAAGACTAAACAACGTCTTGTCCTGGCTGATTCCCATACGGAGGACTCAATATTATCTTTGTCAAGATATATACCTAATTATGATTCTTTGGTTAGGGACATGCAAATTCAGTTTTCCCATTGATGTTAAGGCAACAAAGTAAATTCTAAATCTGTCGTTAGCTACCTTTGAATTAATAAATATTGTTAATAATTATCAATGTTCTTTGTTTTCTTTGACATGAGTTTTTGGAATCTTTAAATAATTATTGTTGTTGTTTTTTACGTAGGTAGATAAACCTTTTATCTATATTTCAGTACGAGGTATGCTCGGCGAGCTATTGATAGATTAGCAAAAAGTAAGCCATGTTATTCTTTCATGATAAATTCTCCTGGCTTAAAAAAATGCCAAAGTGAAATATTGAAATCAAATTCTCAGCCATACTGTGCATTTTTATGACAACTTTTTCATATTAACGAACAAATAGTACAACAACTTATGGCAGTAGATAAAAAAATTAAATTGCATTTTAAGTTAGTAAAAATTTATCTTGAAAAAGTGTAGGAAAATCGAAATCGAATTATTTAGGTACCGCATGTACGGAATGCTGCTATTAAAAGTTGGGTCTGGAAATTTTCTTCATAACCTATATCTCGAAAACTTAATGATTTAAAAAATAAAAATAGTTCTGAATATACATTTTACTTATCTACCCATACATCGCTGGAGTGCACCTTATACTGAAACACAGTGTATAAACATTGTATGTATTTTACACCCTTCTCCCACCTTAGACTAAACCTATGACAACAAGTCGATCGCGACACACTTTTAAGATAAAATGTAGCTCTTACATATAAAAAAGTTGGCCACCCCTGCTTTACTGGAATTGAAAATTCCTTCAATCTCTATTTGGCCATGGCATTTCTGTCCGAGAGGGTGACATTTACATTAGTATTATTGTTGGGATTTCGAGTTCTCGAGGCAGCCTGTAACCCGTAGAGAGAGTGCCCGCAAGTGGCAGATAGGGGAACGTCTTCAATGGTTTTGTTTTGGGTGGTAGAAGAGAAATAAAACACCTTCTGCAGACCGGCTCACCACTAAAGTCGCTGAACACTGGTAGTTCGGTTCGAGGTTGGAATCCCGCGAACGGGTTGACTGAATGGGCGTTTTCATGTTTTCCCCATGTGTAACGTGTATACGAGTCAGTTTCCCTTAGAAAATACTCCTCAAAGGAACCTTTCCCTTACGCAGATAGCCCTTGAGGCTTTGCCGCAATCGCATAAACCAAACCTGCGGACCAAGAAGCAGAAGTCCGACTTTTCGGGCAATGGCACCTTTCTATGATTAGTCTAGATTCAGTATCTGCGAATAGCGCTGCGTACGGGCAGCCGCCTTATCAAGCTCTCTTTATGTCCGAAAAGCATGATGTGAAGTGAACTGAGAGAATATTAAATCTTCTACAACTAAATACCAAACGAAAACCAGGATAAAATTCCGAATTTCCTAGAGAATGACGACCTCTTTTTTGCCTTGTTATTATTAGAGTTTTGCGTGTTACTTTATTTATTTAACATCCTGTTCTTTGCGCTTACGCCACACAGAATTCAACAGCAAAATCATAAAATATTTAAAAATAGCATCCCTTTAGAATTTTTGAGAGAGTTTCGCGGGCTGGAGGTAAAAATGCTTTTTTCCGTACAGTTTTAAGAAATATGAAACAGATAACAAAATAAATTCAAAAAATATAATAAATTTCAAAATTCAGGCTTCCAGGTGCCCATGTTCCATGTTCAGGTGGGTAATTTTTTTTTCCCCTGCCACTGCTCGATTTCAAACCATTGCGTCTGTTAATAAAAAACTCGTTAAAGTTTTACAAAATATGAAAGTAACAAAATAAATTTGAAATTCAAAAGTCAGGCTTCCAGATGCCCACGTTCGAGTAGGTAAAAATATTTTTATTTCTTACAGTTTTGCCACTGCTCGATTTGAAACCATTGAGTCTGTTAATCAAAAATTCGTTAACGTTTTACAAAATATGAAAGAGATAACAAAATAAATTTGGAATTCAAAAGTCAGGCTTCCAGGTACCTACGTTCGGGTGGAGAACCAGGTTTTTCAAAATTTAATAGCTCTAGGAATCTTTTTTTTCACAATGCCAGACACATACATGTATTCATGCAGATACTTTATTATTTAATTTCCTTAAATATAATACAGAACGATAATACACTGGTTATCATTAATTAAAGGAAAATGATAATTACTCAAAAATGGAATACATTTATACAGAATATGGAATTCTCATTTATACAGAATGGAATTTTTGCTAGGAGTCATCAAATAAGAGGGAAAAAAAAAAAAGAGCTAATGAAAAATATAAAGAAGATGAATATTATAAATAATGTTCATATAAATCAGGTACTGACTAATCATGGGCGTTTCCCGGCTTATTTTAATCGGTTCCATCTACAGAATAATAATAAATGCTTAATATGTGATTATTTTGGGGACGACAGGCACTTCGTCGATGAATGTACGCGAGTGCAAGGGGAAAATATAGAAAGCATTTTAAGGAAGATTTTAAAAGGAACTATTCAAATTTGAAAGATTTTGCAGAGACAATAATGAAGATTATAAATACGAAAAAAAAAAAAAAACAGAATTGGAATTTGGCAGAGACTCAGATTTTGGACTTTATATGTTTTTTCTTATATTTATTTTTTCTGGGCAGTCCCATTTTTTGATCATATGACCGGCTTGTGCCGGCTAGGAGGATCAGGCTGCGCCATTATAGTAATAATAATAATTACTCAAAATGTTACAAAGTGGAATTCAACGAAACTGATCTACAATATACAACACACAGTATGGTATAAAATAACATGAAATTACCAAACAATTGTGGTGTTACAGGAATTAGCATATGTATAAAATGAACAAATCGGATGTGTCAATTTAGTACAGGAAAATTACCTTCAATACGGAGTAAGATTTACCCTAGAAGCAGTACAGCACATACAACGATGTGTGATGCTGTCAATTACGTGGTTTATCAGTTACGTACGAAGTGAGATCCATTGCTCTTCCAAAGCAGTTGCAAGCGTAGCAGGGTTCTGAAGAGGCGGATTGGCAGCAGCTGTGCTTCTTCTTAAATCATCCGAAACATGCTCAGCAGGATTCAGATCCGGAGATCGAGCAGAACATTCCATGCGCTGAATTATTTGCTACTGAAGATAATCGTATACTATGCGAGCCCTGTGCGGTCTAGCGTTATCGTGCCTTAGCACAAAACCATCACCTATTGCCCCGGCGTAAAGGCGCACTTAAGCATCAAGAATACCATCTCTATAGGCCTGAGCATTCACGCTTCCACGTGGAAAGACATAGAGCTCTGTGCGTCCACCCAAAGAGATACTACACAGAACACAGGCACTGCCTCCTCCGTATGCATTTCTGCCACGGATTTTTTATGAATGGTAACGGGGTCCAAGTTCTCTCTAAATCAAACGCCTGCTATCGCTTTGCAGGCTACCTCTGGACTCATCCGTGAAGAGACCACTTCTTCTACTGATCAGCCGTTCAGCGGACATGTTGACGTGCCTACTTCAAACGTTCCCTTACATGACATGAGGCAAGCGGCACGCAAATGACTAGTCGTCTCGGGTACAAACCTCCTTCGTGAAGCCTTCTATGTACGGTTGACGTTGATACCAACGTTCCGGTGGCTGCAGCCTGGGAGGATCGGAGTTGTAGTTGTATTCCTTTATGCGCATAACAACAAATACCGGTCATCGGCGCTCGTCGCAGCAGTTGGTCGTCCTTGGCTGAACTTCCTGGATGCTAAATCTATGGTTAGAAATTGTTGCTAAAGTCTATGAACCACAGAAGGACTCAGATTTAGCCATCTGGCAACTTCTGTCTTTGTCTCCAGAGAACCTCCTTTGTCTTTTTCTAGTCTCCCAGGGGCTCTCAATCCCAGTTTTTCGGGCAAATAATGCCTGAAGGTCATTGTTGAAAATTGACAATCGATTTCTTGTTTCAGTATCACAGCAAAATTTGCAGGCTTGCTCTAAAACATGTAATAATCGCAAATGATGTACTCGGATTGCAGCGCCATTAATTTGTATACCTCAGTTTTACTTAGCAACTCTTATTTGACAACGTATTGAAATTTTATACAAATTGGCTTATTTTTCAACGAGTTATCGCTATTTTTGTTATTTTTCCTCAATATTTGGTGGCAACAATTCGAAAAGTAATATGCCGTTTATAGGGATTCAATGCAAAATGCCGTTTTTAGACTAATATTCCATTCGGGCTAAAAACAAACAAAAAAGACAAAAAAGGGGGGAGGAGGAATACTGACATTTTTCCGCTTTGTTCTAAAGGCTTTGATTTAAATGACTTACTGTGTTACTATGACTAATTTTTTTGAAGAACTGTTCTAAAATTTTCTTAGGAAACATAACTTAACAATAACTTCCCTGAAACTGAATATTTTAGCACAAATTTAGCAATTCCTAGCACAAAATTCTGAAGTTTTTTTTTTTTTTTTTTTTCCTTTCTTCCCAATTTGTATAAGATGGTCCCCCCCTCGAAAAAAAAAACGAACATAAAATTAGATACAATGCAACATCTTCACAAGGTTCAAGTAAAAATTTATTCAACTAAATGTAATCTCTTGCTTACAAAATGCAATGCTCACAAAATGAAAACCAGTTTCATATTTATATATAAAGTTTTCATTACCCAATTAAATATATTTTAAACATATACACTAAATTAACATCCCACTATTGGATATGTAACATCATTTAACAATATCAAAAATAAGAATGTGCCATAGATTTTTACACCTATATGAAAAATTCATATGCACTGAAAAGTTTATATAAAATGATATTTCTCTATTTATGTACCATTAGTTTATGGAAGTACTTAATTCACATGAATGCAATATTATATTAAATAAGTAAGAAATACAAAGAATATAAAAAGATAACTTGAGTAAATTTTTTTTAAAAATAACATGTCAAGACATAGGCTATATCAAGTAAAAAAAACTTTTGCTCTAAATATAACATAGCTGGTAACTACAAATTTCATGATGCAAAACATAGAAAGAGGGACATTAAATGTAAATTTCAGCTTCAATATTGTAATAAAATTATTATTTCATGTAAATAACTATATTTGATAACTAATAATGTGCAATAATTCTAGTTAATTTGTTCTCGATTCAAGAATAATCATCATCATCATTCCTTATAAGGTACTTCTTCCACCTTCTTAGCAAGCCTTCGTGGTGTAGTACTCAGCATGCTCGGTGCATATTCGAGAGATCCAAGGTTCGAGTCCCGGGCAGGTATTGCTCATTTTTCATCTCTCCTGCTTTGAAATAACCTAATGTCTCTACTGACTGATGAATATGATCTTATGTTTCTCAAGTAGTGATTACATTCCCTATATGTGATAAATGTCTGCTATAACATTCAAAGTATTTTCATACTTTATTTTCTAAACAAAAAGGAACTAAATTTTGACTATCTCCTCAATTATATATGTATATATATATGTGTGTGTGTGTATTTCAAATGGTTAGACACTTGCTTTGCAAGGATTTGTGAGGAACAGCCAAATCCATCAGTCATTTAGCCATCTCATTACCAAGAATGTTACCCAGAGTACACCACAGGAAGTAGAATATTATTAACAAGAGAGAAGGAAAATATGCTAAAGTAAAACTTGAAACTACACAAAACAGCAACCTTGTGTTTGACACAGATTTTAAATAAAACCATAAACTTTGAAGGCAAACTCCTCCTTTGTAATGAGAAAAACATTTTGCAAAGAAGGGAGAAGCCAGGATCGTGTTTATACCAAAAACAAAGAGTGAAACAAAGCAAACATGTGCATAGCACCACCTCCCCAGGAAAACAGAAAAGAAATATGGAAAATTAAAATTAGTTTTAAAAGCATTAAGGACAGGATTAGAATTAATGTCATTAATAAATTTTCACGAATATGAAAAGCTTTAAAGAAATCCAATTCATTAACTGAAGAAGCTTTGTGGATAATTTTCACAGACAGGACAAATATAAACAACTATGCAAAATATGAACCTGTATCCTAGAATTCGGACAAGCAGTCCACCTCTGCTAACCATTGGACCACCCAGGATTATAAATTATATTTCTTATCCATTTTACCTCCTTTTTAAAGAACCTATTTCATAACAGCCAACTTAGAAATCTTAAAAGCCGAGAAATTTTTGCTAGAAAACAGGGAGAAACCTAGAAGTTCACACTGTGCAGTGAAGCTGTTTCAAATGAGCTAAAAATAGTCTTTAATTCACTTTATAATGCATGATTCAAGTTATTGAACTATTTGTAATTTAATGTGGATGCAAAATATACGAGAATTTAATTCACTATTCTAAATTTTAAGTTTTTTGGCTAATTTCTTTTTGTAATTTTCTTACACTTTTATACCAAGAAAATTCCAAATGAAAGAAAACCTTTTATTTGTTGAAGTACTTTTAAATACGATGAAAATAAAATAATTAATATACATCATATTTGTGTGGATAAACTTAGTAATGGACCATTCATTAAAATAAACCAAATTAAATACAAATATTAATTATCACTACTTGAGCTTTTACATAAAAATCTACAAAAGTCTTCAGAAGATTAAGACAAGATCAAATGAACTTCAGAAAATTTATAGTTAAGTTTAATAAGAAATTTATGAATAATAAGAAACATATATTAAGACAGAGATCAACAAAATGTAATAAGAAAACATTACAATTCAGATGAAATAAGTTTTCATAAGAAAAATTTCTCTAAAAATTATTAGATGTGGAGAAATGGAATTGGCCTAATATAAGTTTCATTAATTCAATAAATTTCATTTATTGCTGGGAAACATTTTCCTTGGTAAAAGGTAATAATTAAAAAGTGGGAGATTTGGTGATGTACCAGGAGAAAGAGATGTGATGAAAAACCTGAAGTCTCCCGATAAAAGTAGAGAAGTTGGCAGCTATGCTATTTCAGGTGGTGTTGAAGAAATATTTATAAGTAGCAGGAATCAAAAGCTTTTCTGAGAACTTGTTTTCCCGATTCTTTTTCAAGAGCAACTTAAAACATATATTTTAGGCATGTTGATTTCTAAATCTACTAATCAAGTTCTCCTTTATATAAAAATTTACAAGCCAAAAAAAAAAAAAAAAAAAAAGACATTTTCATATCAGTCAGCTTGGTTATACAATTGACAGGTGATTTAAGGGAATCACAAGAATGACCTTCCACATCATCTTTAAGAACAGATTGAACAATAAATCACATATTTTAAATATATAAGAGAGAAAATGGAATTGTACAGTCTGCTCAGACAGAAAAGCACCAGGTGGAAGATTGCAAACTATGACAATGCAACACATATCAACAAACCTGCAACATATATCAACAACTGTTTCATAAACAAATAAGTAACATATGATTTTCTGTTGTAAATATATTCCTCAATATCTAAAGATTCATATAAAACAAATATCATTACAATAAATCACTTGGTTCCAAAATTTTATTATTTAATAGGTTGCAGTTTTCATTTGTATGTTTTCTTAATAAATTACTGCCACACTGATAAAAGATACTCCAGAAGACGGCTCCAAATGCAAATTTAATTCAAAAGTTTTGCAGTCACTTATTATCACTTTTTTAAATGATACATATCAGCTTATTCTAATAATTTTATTATTAATAATGTAGCTTATTACAAAAGAAAAATCAACTAGATTTTTTTTAATTCTTATAAAAAGATTCTGTGACATCTGGGGGAAAAAAAAACAGCAATGAAATTTACATTGCAGAATATTTATTAGATATTTATTTGGTTTCAGACATCAAAGCTATAACTTTTCGATTTGTAATACATTTTACTAGAATTTCTTTTTTTTACCCACGAATATGATCACAAGAGATCAACCGAAATTTCTCGCATTTAAAAATTTTACCAATTAAAAAATGCTTTAAATTACATTCAGATATACAGTTCAGTTCAAGGAATTAATAGCACATTACACAAAGCTGGATACAAAGCTTTCTCTTTAGAACACATAAAAGTAGAAATTCTTGAACTGATTTATTTTGCCCTGAAGAAATTCCATAGATAACATTTTGTACAGCATAAAATAATGAAGTCTAGAAAAGCATTTTAAAAAATAAGAATCCTATTATTCTTGTTAAAACTCTTACATTTAAGAAAATTTGCTATCTTTTATTTCTGAGGTAATGAGAAAAACAAAAATAATTTTTCAATGGTCCAGCCACTTTTTTTTGTTGTTGAGAGAACAAAGGGTAACAACATGCATTAAAAATTGCAAAACAATTTATAAAATGAACCTTGTAATTCTATTAATGGTTTTTAAAGTCTAAAAATTATTTAAATAATTCAATAAATATTAATGACTGCAAGAGAAAATAAATATTTTTAAAATTAAGTCATAAAATGGTTTCAGAATTCATTCTAAACTTTAACATAAAATTCAATGAAATTATTATGCATAACAAAACAATAAGAACAGATAAGTTCAGGTATCTAAAATAACATAAATTACATAGAAAATGCCTCATAAATATAAAATGCTAGCAATTCATACATTTTATCGTAATAAAATGAGATTTTCTAGCAGTGGTTAGTTTTTAAAAATACATCGTTAGAAATAACACAATACAAAGTTGAATAACAAAAAACAAAAAAAAAAAAAAATACATTGCATAATACACAAATACCTGCATAATCAAAAATACATTATACAATTATTTAAACCTATAAATAAACTTAGGTACTTTTCACAAACATTCAAGAGAATCATATAAGTGTGACAAATAAAAGAATAAGCAATCCCATAAACATATTTGTAGTTAACGACTGCTGACTAGTTCCGGCTGCAACCGTAATACTGTACCCGTTGAAGTTTCAACACTGAAAGTATATTAAATTCATCAGTAAGTTAAATTCAGATCTGATAAAATATTACCTAGTTTTAATTCTCATATCTCTGATGGAAATTAGAGACATTAAATTTTACATATTGAATTAGAAACTTTACTGTTAACACGATGCTATTTAACATCAAGCAGTAATGTTGGCACAAATTCTAACCAAATGTTGTCAACCCTAATTATATACACTGCTTCATGAAAATAATAACCGTTTTACATATAATGAATACAATATACACTAATGTTTGTAAAAAATGCAACACCATGAAAGAATTGTTAGAAACAAATGAAATTTTTCCACATATTACTGATGGTGTTATGAATAAATGATCAAATTTACGAGACAAAAAACAAAATGAATGTTAGAAATCAGTACTTTGTGTGTCCACCATGCAAAGTGATGAGAGCCTGTACATGTCATAGCAGTGAAACATATAGATTTTGAATGTAATTCTGGGGAATGGCATTCTATATGGCTTTGACTTGATGCCAAAGTTCAGTCTTAGTATATACCCTGCCAGATGAACAAGCAAATCACCGACCGATGAAATTCCACACATGCTCAATTGGCGACATATCCGGAGAATAGAGTGAGTGAGTGAGTGATTATGGCGCAAAACCAAAGTTGATTATAGTGCGCCAAACGCGAGATAGGGTGAGTACAATTGATGAAATTAAAATACAATAAATAAAAACAAGTAGACAAATGTGTCAAATCCAGAGGATGAAGTCATATAAAAACAAGTTAAAACCACACATTTAAAATTCAAGACACAATTTTCAAAACAAATTACATTAGGTAATAAAAGCCAGTCTCTTTTAAATAATAAAATAAATTACGAATTCACCTCCTTCCGATTAAACGGTCGAGAGGTAAGTCACAGCTATTAAAATACTTCTGACGAAGATTATTAAAATATGGACACTCAATTAAAATATGACGGACAGATAGACAAAACATTACAATTTGAACAAACAGGCTCATTCTCTGCTTTTAAAAGGTATAGTTATGTGTCACTCTTGTGTGACCAATTCTGAGGCGAGTCAAAAGAACTTCCTCTTACGATTTCCAGCAAAATCCCAATGCTCAATTCTAGGCTTTACATGTTCTTAACTTGTTTTGAAGCTGAACATCCCAAAATTGCTGCCATTTTTTTCGTATCTTCTTTTTGACAACACAACAGATGTCTCCAAAAGGGATGAGGCGACTGGACAGTTCAACAGCAGATTTGGCTGTGATATCTGCCAGCTCATTCCCTTTTATTCCCACATGACCCGGGAACCCAGCAGTACAGGATTTCATATCCACGAACTCGTTAGGTTTATATGTAATCTTGAGAACATCCACTATGACTGGAGTTTGAGTGTTAGGGAAAAGCTTCTAAAGATTTAAGTGCACTATACGGAGTCTGTATAAACTATAAACTTTTTGTGGCAGAGCCTTTGAGATGTACAAAACGATAATAATATATTGCAGTTAATTCAGATGTTAAGACAGAGGAAAGCATGGTGCAAGCATCTGCCCTCCATGTGGTCTTCAATTACAAAATGCCATCCCGACATGATCATTTGACTTGGATCCATCTGTATATACTGGAATATAACTGCTATATTTGTGCCTGTGCTCAGCGAAGAGTTGTCTATAAATGATCTCGTTGGTGCTTGCCTTGACGTGATGCTTGAAAACATCAAGAAGCTGAATCCGTGCATTTTCCCAAGGTGGGATTTCAAAATTCTGTACTGCTTGGGGGCGCATATCAGAGAGGGAAAGTTCCTCAATGATAGGGCGAACTCTTAAAGGAAAGGTAGGAACACAGGATGGACGTGTTTCAAATAAAGTGTTACACACATTATCAAGTAAGCACAGCTTATTGGGATGTTCAGGTTGGGATAGAATATTAAAATATTGCAAAAGGGACAATTGCTCACGCCTCAGATAAAGTGATGGTTCGTTAGAGTCAACATACAGGCTCTGGACAGGAGAAGTTCTGAAAGCTCCTGAACAAATCCGCAGAGCTTGATGGTGAACAGGATCGAGTTTTAACAAAACTGATGACCGAGCGGATCCGTAAACAACTGAGCCATAGTCCAGTCTAGAGCGAACAAGCGCTCTGTAAATGCGAAGCATGGAGCAACGCTCTGCACCCCAGGAGGTGTTCGCCAACACTTTTAAAATATTTAGTGTTTTTAAACACTTCTTTCTCAGGTTTAAAACATGAGAAAGGAAAGTCAATTTTCGGTCGAACGTCACTCCTAAAAATTTTACTTCAGGGCGCAACTGGAATAATTGAACCATTCAGATATAACTCAGGTTCAGGATGGAGACCTCGCTTCCTACAAAAGTGCACGCACACAGTTTTCTGTTTCGAAAATGTAAATCCCTGTTTGTCTGACCATTCTTGGATCTTATTCAGAGCCATCTGCAATTGCCTCTCTACGTATCTCATGTCTGCCCCTCGACAGCTAATCTGCAGATCATCAACATATAGAGATCCCAAGATGGTGGAAGGAAGTTCTTTTAGTACAGAGTTTATTTTTAAACTAAACAGGGTTACACTAAGCACACAGCCTTGAGGCACACCCTCTTCCTGTTGAAAAACATCCGAAAAAACAGAGCCAATTCTTACTTGAAAAGTTCTAGCGTTCAAGAAATTCTGAATGAAAATTGGTAGGTTGCCGCGCAAGCCACTCTCGTGAAGATCCCGAAGTATACCGTATCTCCATGCCTTATCATAAGCTTTTTCAATGTCGAAGAATATCGAGACAAGGTGATTTTTTCTTACAAATGCTTTTCGAATAGGATGTCTCTAAGAGGAGCATGTTATCTACGGTTGTTCTCCCTTTTCGAAAACCACTTTGATAAGGCGATATAATATCATTCTTTTTCCAAGAAGTAGACTAGGCGGCTGTTTACCATCTTTTCAAACAGTTTGCAGAGGCAACTCGTAAGGGCAATTGGCCGATAGTTGGAGGGATTCCTTGGATCTTTCCCTGGCTTAGCAATAGGAATGACAACAGCTCTCCTCCATGCACTGGGAAAAGGTACGCTCCTTCCACACCCTATTGTAAAGAGTGAGAAGGGCATTCAGTGACTTATAGGACAGATGCTTTAGCATTTCATAATTCACGCCATCAAGACCCGGAGAAGACCTATGTGTCTGCAATAAAGCTTTCCTTAATTCCAAGCATAGTAAATGCTCTATTGTAAGGCTCAGATTTGGAAGAGTTGAATGCGATGGGATTTATTTCAGAGTGCTGCTTCATAGAAGAAATGCAGGTGAATAGTTTCTGCTGGAAGAAACGGCAAGCAAATGTCTCACCAATAGTATTTGCAATTTCTTCTATGGAGCTAATCACTCGGCCATCTTTTTCCAAAAAGGAAAGTGAGTGGTCTTTATATATTCCGCATGCTTTTCGAACTCTTTCCCAAACCCGCTTACTAG